GAAATTCTTAAGTCGGTGAAGTGCATACATTTTTATGAATGCTCCGTGGTTACGTATTTGTCCTTGATGTTAATTTACATCACATACACATTTGCGTCTATTGCAAAAAATTCATACTACATATGAATCGAAAATTCTGAAGAAATCGTTTGGGAGACCTAGTCGTATATTGAACAATATTATTAAAATGTTTCTCAGATGGTGTGGGCTGGATTCAGGGCTCAGGGTGGGATCCAGTGGAGGGCTCATATGAAGACGGTAATAAACTTTCGGCTTCTATAAATAGCGGGAAGTATCTTGATTATTTGAAAGACTATCAGTTTCTCAGGGAGAACTCTATTATGTGGATTTAATTACTTGCAAATTTATTGCATCAAAGCTAAATTACACTACAGATTTCTTGCGAAAGAAAAATTACGTTTTGAAAAAAACCGAACTCTAACCCGTGAACATTTAAGAGCATTTCAACGACAACTCTTGTATAAACGCAGAACGCGAGAGCGTTTGGTACGTAAACGCACAAAGTTCAGAGTGCCTGAACTCTCAGCAGCGGTGTCGTATGAGAAGTGTAATTGCTCAGATTTTCTGCCGAGCACAGTAGATAGCATTGCGGTGCTTCTATATGCGTGTCACGTGTATCCAATTCAGCACAGAATCGGCTACAGGCAGTTCCTCTTATCCGGGATTCTGTTGAAAGTGGCTGTTCTGAAAGGAGCAGAATTCAGCTGAGTTTGTGTGGTTTGAATATGGAAGTACGAGACTCAAAGCGCGTTCACTACTCTTACTTTTGTCACCTTTGTACACACACACACACACACACACACACATCTTTTTGCTATTGCTCATTTTGTCTTTTTCAGATATCTTTCGCCCTCCCATTTTTATTATCCTTTTTATTTATTCTCTTGATTCTTTATTTGTTCTACCAACGCTTTATCAACTAAATACGTTATGTAACGTCGATTGGACGAATGATTTGTGAATTATGAATTAGAAAGTATGTGGTCGTGACCTGTTTTAAGGACGTTTGCTACCACAATATTTGTCTGGAGTAACTGGCGAGAACCACGACTCAAAATAGCTGTTAACCGGCCGAAGGTTGGAACGTGGACCTCCCGAACACGATAGACTACGAATCACTCGCAAGGGAAATGCTTATAAAATTTTAGCCTGGTATCTTGAAACACTGCGATATCTTTTGAGATGGATTGGAAGATAATATTAAAATGGATGCTAC